ACTCCTAACAAGCAGGTGAGTAATTTATTAGCAATTTAAGGTCAGACAACCCTTTTATATCAAAGATGGCAGTTGAACTCAGGTATTCCTTGCTCTGGAGGAGGAGATGGCAAACACTCCTATGTCTTTGCCAAGGAAACCCCAAATGGCATCACAAGAGTTGGACACCCCTGAAATTACTCAGCAACAACAACAACAACAACAACATTCTTAGCTCTGAGGTCTGCCGTCTACTGCTCTGATGCCTCTCCTAGATTATGATGATGACAAAGGTAGCTATTCAGAGGATCACGTATGTAGAGTTGGAAGGGAAGTTAGAGATTATTCATTTTATCAGTGAGGAACTTGCGGTCCAGAGATGTAAAGTGATTTGTTCAAGGTCACACAGAGGTAGTAAGTTGCAGAGCTAGGATTTGAACCTCAGTCCTCTTACTCCAAATCCATTATTATTTCCATTGTTTTATCCTGTTGGCTTTTTGCAACCTGTAAGTTCCTTGAGGGCAGGGATTGTTTTTTATTTTTATGTATTTATTCTTAGCAGTACTATAGTTCTTCATCCATATCTGGAAGTTAATAATAGGTTGTTGAATAGAAGTTATTTCCCCCAACCTGCCAATAGCTAAGAATGTCTTTTGGTCTATCTTTCTGCTGTTATAATTTCAATCTTTTCAAAGCATTCCTCCTCAAAGTAAAATATCAACAAGCATTCTTCAACTTTCTGGAAAACAATTTTCCATAATCAGATATTTGGCTTTTCTTGTAAAACACAAGCAGGTCCTTTGTTCATTGTAAGAGAACTATGTTTATGAAAGCCCACAGATATTCTCTTGAGAGATCAGTGTTCCATGAAGCAGTGTTCTCAGTAACATGAAAATCTATCAGATTTTTCTATTACTCATATGTCCTAGTCATGGGTGGGGCAGTATATTTAAAAAGACCCTATTTGGATGCTGTTTTTTTCCTGTAGATCATCACCATGTGCAATATTGGTGATTCTTCCTGTGTTTGGTCTAGAATCTCACCAGCTAATTTCAAAACGGGCCAAGACTAAGACACAGGAGCGGAAGCTGCTGGACTCTCCCAAACACAGTTCAAGAAAGATGCTACATGATCTTCCAATCTTTGGCTCTTTTCCGTCATCAGTAGATACAGTTTTTATGACTGATGGTAGAATATTGAAGTATTGAAAAGCTAAACTGGTGGCCAAGAAGAAAGAGTGAAGTTCTATCATTTTACAAATATGATTTTGATATGGGAAATATTGCTCTGAGGACACTGTGTATCAGAGATGTTTAGCTAATATTTAAATAAGTAGATCCTGAAGAGACCTTAGGCATCATGTAGACCAGATTTCTCTTTTTACAGATGAGGAAATGAGCGAGCAAGTGACTTTCCCAAGGTGACCAACTAGTTACCTTTTGGATATTTGAAGGGAATGTACATTATGACAAAGACCTCAGAGTTTAACTTTCTAGTGTCAGCATTGTGGAGAGACACTGATAAGTAGTGGACAAATAAGTGGACTAGGAATCAAGGAAACCTGGATTCAAATTCCACACCCAATACTTCATCACCTCATAGATTTGGAGTTGGAAGGACCTCATAGGCCATCTAGTTCAATGTCTTCCCTGTACTGAAGAAGAAATGGAGGCTCAAATAGTTTATGATTTGTTCAATATTATATAATTTATAAAATAAATAACCGGGATTAAAACTCAGGGCCTCTCTTACTGAAATCCAGTGGTCATTACTCTACATCATGCTCACTTCTAGTTATGTCACCTGGACAAATCAACCTCAGTTTTTTCATCTGTTAAAAGGTGATAGTAATAGTACTTAGCTCATAGAGTGGTTGTGAGTATCTAAGAAGATGCTATATGCAAAGAACTTTGCAAACTATAAAAACTGATATATAAATGCTAGATATCATCATCTTCATCATCATCATTACTGTTACAGTTTTTATTAAAGGTACATAACCCTGTGCTAAGTATGTCCTCTGGTAGGGGTGGTATACACAGATAAAAAAAATGGAACCTGCCCTCTAGCAGCAAGGGCACAAGTGGGCAATAAAGTGGAGGGGAGACATCAAAGCTGGAGAAAGCCTATGCAAAATCTCCAGTGCCACATAATGCACAATTGAGTTCCTGACATTTGGGAAAAACAGGTATATCAACACTACTATGAGTAGCAATGGGGAAAATTCACTTTGGAAGAGCTACCTCTTAATCTCAGAGTACTGTTGGGGATGAATTCTGGAAGAATGGGAAGCAAAAGAATGACTCATATAAAAATATTGATGGTGATAATGATAGCTAGCATTTATATGCTAATTTAAGATTCGCAAAGAGCTTTCCATGTATCTCATTTTATCGTCACAACAACCATGGGAGAGAAGGGCTATTTTTTTTTGTTTGTTTCCATTTTACAAATGAGGAAACCAAAGTAGACTGAAGTTGTGTGTTGCCTGGGGTCACATACTGCTAGCTAGTGTTTGATCTGGATTTAAACTCGTATCTTTCTGACTACAGGTCTAATACTCTACCCACTGCTCACCTAGCTGCTTAATGATAACATTATTAACAAGAGAAAGCAACCTTTGTTCTTGGGTAAAAGTGGTTTCCAGAGACAAATATTCTCATTGTTGCCTGGTACTTCTTTGGAAATGACTTCAGTGAAAGTAAAGAGTGCTACAAAATAAAATGCAAATGAAGCAACATTGGGATTCCCCTAATAAGAGGGAGACAGATCCTGAGAAGAATAAAGGAACTTATAGAACTGTTGCTTTAGGCAACTTCCATTTGGGTTAAAATAATTTAAAAGGGTGGTGAAGTTCAGATCCAGAATAAAATTGATTTTGACATTTGACCTCATTCTGGATGCCCTGATTCTGGCATGAGGGAAAGACTTTCGGAAAGCCATACTGGCCAGCCCCTTTATGGACAATCTCTTGTCCTGCTCACCCCTATGAAGCAGGTTGTTCTTGGTACCTCAAAGGTACCTTAGTTGGCTGTTGAAGAAAGAGAGATGTTAAGCATGTGGTTCCACTTAAGACCCCCCTGTAGTAATTTATGACCTACTCAATGTCAATGGAACCCTAGACATGGATAATCTATTTCACAGAGTGAACATTATATAGACAGAAGCTGATTCCTTGGCCTACTTGAAAACCAGTAGGTTTACAGAAGAATTAGATTGATTTTAGGAGTGCAGTGAACACTGATGAACAAAAGTGCCAGTCAGATACTTGCATTACTCTCTGTGCATCAATTAGATGATGACTTAAACTTAGATGTTGCCTTTTACAAGAGTGAATGGTATCCATTACTGAAGAGTATATACATCTTTCACTGTTCATTGTTTTGTAAGAATAGGTGGCTTTGCCCATGATAAACTGAAAGATGTTGCTTCTGTATATTAAGTGTTGCTTCAGACCTGAAGTAAAAGCACTATCATGTGATAGGCTTTAGAAGTATTAAGGCACAAAACAAAGTAGAAACCCGTGTTTGGAGAAACCTTGTCAAAAAAGTTATGAGCAGGGGACTGTAGGGTATCTACATATCATATTTACGCATTAGCATTAAATTTAATTTAAAGGTACAGAAGTAAGCCTTATGTTTTACTTATTTATTCTTTAAATTTTATTTTTACTGATAAATTTTGCAGTAAAAAAGATATATAAAAAAGAGGAAAACAATAATTCAGCAAAATCAGTCAACATATAATAGCATCTCACTGTATAGGCATTATTGCACACTTCTTGTCTGCTACCTCTGAAAAGGGGGGAAGGAGGAGATTTTGTCAGTTTGTCTCTGGAACCAGCTTGATCATTGCAATTTTACAGTGCAGAGTTTCATTCTTGTTTTATTGTTCCCATATACCTTGTCATAGTCATTGGGTATACTGTTTTCCTAGTTTTGTATTAGTTCATATAAGTCTTCTCATGATTCCCTGAATTATTCATATTTGTCACTTTTTTATAGTGTACTAATATTCTGCACACAAATACACCATGATTTATTTAGCCATTTCCCTATTGTATGTCTTTGTTTCCACTTCTATACTTACACAAAGTTGGGTTGTAATTAATTTTTTTTTTTTCACTATATGGAACCTTTCTTTCTGCCTGGAGTATAAACCTAGCAGTGGACCCTTGTGCTTTATGATGATTGTTAAAAGCATAGAAATATGTAAAAAACATTTGATGACCAAAAAACTATAATTCCTTTTCCTTGATTTTGTGTACTTTCATCTCATTCTTCCTACCCTAACACAACCTGACAAATAAATCCCAAACCAAACAGCACCTTAGCTTAAATGTGAGGGGTATTTATTTTGTAATTTTGAAGAGTTCAAAATTGTTGTTTATATTAATTTCTAGAAGAATATTTCATAACATGAAAATCATATATTTTGAAAGTAAAAAATGAAAACAACTTCTACCTTTTCCTGAGATTTTGCATGTTTCTTATGTACCTGAGTCATTTAAATGAAACAGTCATTTATTTAGCACCTACTGAGTTCAGAGAACTTGTATGTAATTCTAGGCATACAAAGACAAAAATGAAGCATTAGCAAGACAATCTCTAGCGGGTATTTTGAGGCACACATACAAGTAGAATATTGACTAGGGAGTTATGGAAGCAGAGGACAGAGACAAACAAAATGTTCTCTGAGAAAATTTTAGGAAGATATAGGAAGACTACACTGAAGGAGATAGCACCTCAGTAAAGTCTTAACAAGAGATAACAATTCAGATTGGGAGCCAGTAAACCCCCAGCGCCTAGCACTTTCCTGCATTTAGTGAACAAATGAATCAAGGGGCATGCAGTGAATTTCATGGATATAATGATGCTTGAATTTTTGGTGATTTATAAATATGACAGCCTATTTCCTTTTTAAAAGTAGGAAATTTTATTTTTCCCCCCCATCTGATTTGTTAAATGGCCTTATAACATGTTCTCCCAAAGATATTAATTATTTGTGTTCTTTTTTTGTAGGATCCAAATTATTGGATAAAAGTTCATCGTTTGGAGCATGGTGATGGTGGGATCCTCGACCTGGATGACACCCTCTGTGATGTAGCTGATGACAAAGACAGAGTGAGTATAAAGTGAAAGAAAGTATGGTGAACTGACTCTTGTGTTAGCCACAGAGGACATGAAATAAGGTTGTGATTATACATAGTCTCGTGACATGTTTATACCAATCACAGCAAAACAAACCCTCCTTAGAGAAAGCACCAAAACGAATGGCTGCATTTTTCAGCTTTTTGAGAATTAGCTGTCTAAGTATTGCAACTTGTATTTCATTTTTTTAAAAATATGGCAACTTACTGAAGAGTGTTGTTCATTCACCTGACTTCTTCAACAGAATATGTTGAACATAATTTAAACTTCTTTTGGAAATTGTTCTCTGTCCTCTGCTCCTATAACTCTCTACTTAATATTCTACTTGTGTGTAGAATGTAATCCAATGTAATGTAATTCAATTATTGTTGTGGAAAGAAGATGAAATTGTAGCTTTAAAATGTGACACCAAAGGCTCAATGCATGTTGCCCCCAACAAAGGAGTTGGACCCCTAACTATTGAGAAAGATGCCCTGATGTCAATTTGGTTTTTTCCTTTCTCTCATAAAGAGTATGAAGTAAGGAAGGTGTGGTTACTGTTCTGAATAGTGCAACCAATGTTGCCCTTCTGCAAACTTAAGTAGTGAATCAAAGGCTGAAGCAGTCTTTTCTAACATGCTTTGCCTAACTTTCAGAAAATAACTATAATTTCTTCTATTGCTGTTAGCATAGTTGACTTGTTGGTGACATTTAAATCATCTATGAGATTGTAAATTCCCTGAAGTCATGACTTATTCATCTATATATCCACCAGAATGTCTTAACTGAGTAGGTCTTATTTGCTAAATTAAACACACACCTCAATATCATCTGCTTTAAAGGGACTGCTCGCTGTTTGTATCATCAATGAATTTCTGTATTATGAATACAGTGGTCCACAGACAAGGTCCTGTCAGTTTGTGCCTCTTTTTCTCTCTCATTTCATTGTGGTTGTTGATGGGATGTGAAGGAGTAGCCCCAATGTCAAGAATTTGTTTTGGGTAGGGCATTGGAGTGGCTGACTTCAAAGCCTGCACATTCTTCTTCTTCATCAACAGCAGATAAGATGATGATGATGATGATATATTAAGAAATGGAAGCAGGCCACAAGCTTTTCATAATATTGTGTTCGTTTTTTGTTTTTTTTTTTGTTTTTTTGTTTTTTTGGGTTTTTTTTTGGTGAGGCAATCGAAGTTAAGTGACTTGCCCAAGGTCAGACAGCATAATGTAGTGTTCTGGATAGAATTCTAGGTGTAAACAACATTAACCACTGAATCTTTACTCTTTCAAGGAGATGAAAATCTTGTCTAATGTTTATAAGACAGATCAACTTTCCTGGGAAATATCTGTCTGTAATAACATGTTTTCCTCAGAATAACACTGGTCTGTGGATGGAGTCAGTGAAATAAAACTACTGGGCTGCACAGCAAGGGAGTGAAGGAGGCAGAAAGATGATAATTTTATCTCCAACACTAATACTGTTAACTCAAGGAGAGCTCTCTAGTTGACCAAGTATTGAATAGCTTTGCTATCCTCAGGGGATCCTCTGGGACTAAAATGAAACTTTTTCTGAGGTTACAAGAAGGAGACAGAACTAGTCAGCAAAAAGTTTTGGCCTATTGAAGCTTTAGCTTGCAAGCCTGCAAATAACATACAAGCCACATGACTTTTTTGAAAGCCCTGGAGCATTGATTTTTACCAAATCACCTATTCTATAAGAGAATGCATAAGTAAAAAAAAATCAATTTATCTCAGTTCTTAGGAGATTTGATTTGCTCATGCCTGCCAGGATAGGATTTGGTATAAACATTGTCAGAATTGATGTTTCCTTATTATCGTGAAATTGTTTAGGAGATATATTCTAGCAAAAAATCTCCCTCCCTTCCAAAATGTAGCATGTGATTGGGTATTAGTCACTGGCTGCATCTTGCCTTCTGGTTTATAGCTCATGGATAAATACTAAGGTCACACTTGAAAATATGTTGTTTTGTCAACTGCATTTTTTGATTAAAACATTCTTCTGTTACACTGAGCTTTGGGCCAAGGACAGGAGCACCCTCACTTCTTCTCACTGCAGCTCATTCAGAAAGGATACAGCCCATGTAGATCATCTTAGAGTCATCTGAAGCTAGGAATATTTTAAGGCATATAAGGTCCTGCAGTACTAAATACTTGAATGGATCATTTATCTCTCCACCCATGTTGTGAGTTCTCTCCACCCATGCTTTTCTATCCTATGTGTTTACTGTTTGTCTTCCCGTAAATCCTCCACAGAGCACATACTCAGTGTCCTTTCTCTATGTTGTTTAATATTTGGGGGTGGAGGGGAGGGGAATACTGGCACTTGGCCTATCTATTTTACCTTTTTTTCATCATATAGCCCTGCAAATTTGAAATGTAATTCAAATTCATTTGCCCTGGGGAAATGAAATAACAAACTATCATAAACATTTAAAAAAACCCTCCATACATTTCAAGTCTTTTAACACTAGAAGAACTAGGCATGTAACTACCTTGCAGCTGCTGTCATTTTAATGGTGCAGTCTTACTAAGTTTATTATAAACCTTTTAGACATAAACAATTGAAATAAATGATTAAAAGTTCAGAAATTATCTAAATACCTGAAATGAATTGTGTAGCCCCTAGATACATAGCAATAAGGTGATGGGAGAAGAGTACCTGCATTCTGAGGATCTTGAAAAATTCAACTTTTAAAACATGGGCTTTTGAAATTTAATAAAATTGAAACTATCATAGGAATCATAGTATTTCGGGATGAGACAATATAGAATATGATTTGGAATTTACCCTATTTGCTTCCAAGTGACAACTTTTTTTTATTATTTTTAAAAGATTTCCGCCAAAATGACTGGGTCACTTTTCCTAGGAACACATGCAGTGTTCACAACCTTCCCAGTTAGTAATCTCTTCCTTGTATTTATAGCTACCTCCCGGTCATCTGTGATGAGGAAGAACAGCATGATTAAAATAAACATATCATCAAATAGTAGTACAGGTTGTCCAACTTAATAATGGTTGCTGGATTATTTATGAATTGACCACATTGAACACATCTTTTCTGCCTTTATTTTTTTTTTTTGGTCATAATATAGGTGAGAAGCACATATATATTGCGCTTGAATTCTTTCCCTCTACAAAGAATGTCAATTTTTAACCCTTTCCTCCTAAGGTCTTATTCTTAAAACCTTCATTTATGTTTGTGACTTTTCTTTGAATTTAATCCAATATTTTGGTGCCTTTCTTAAGTTATAGAGCCCAGAAAGGAGAACAGTTTTGTATCATTTAATAAGTATCTGAGTATTATGGTTGTTACTTTGATACTTATTAATCTCTAAATGTTTACTGAACTCATCCTGTGTATGAAGCATTGTGGGGGAGGGACACAAAGAAAGGAGACCGTTTCTGTCGACGAAAATCTTATTTAATACTGACCTGCACTTTTAGGCTCTTAGTTTATATTCAACATGTTTGTTGATATTAAGTAGTTGCATCTTGTTTCCAGTTTCAAATCTGTTATCATTGACTTGTAGGTTTTGGCTTCTCTGCTAGCATAGACTAATTGCAAATGTTTAATCTTGCTTAAGGAAAGGAGAAATATTCAAGGAGTATTTGGTTATTGGAGCCAGCTCTCTGTTTTCAAGCTTTATGAGATATGGTTATGTAGTCACCTGGAATGATTATCTTTTGTTTCATACGGGGTTATAGAAGTACTAATGAACTAGATCAGTTTTCCATTATAGAGAGAACTTTTTCTGTTATTTCTGTATAAGATAAATCACAGTGGAAAGTCAGAGGCCCTGTGCAGTACTGCTTGGGTGACCTCGGAGAAATCATTTAGCCTCTTGTGGCCTTCTCCTATGTCTTTCTCATTAAAATGAAGGAGTTAGACTAAATGACAACTAAATTAGCCTCCAGTTTTTAATCTTATGAGCCTATGTTGTACTCTTGTGGATTTGGGGGTCTCAAGATGGAAAATGCTATCCACATCCAAAGAAAGAACTGTGGAGTTTGAATGTAGATCAAAGCATACTATTTGCTCTTTTTTTCTTCTGCTTTGTTTTGTTTCCTTTTTCTTGTGGTTCCTTCTATTGCTTCTAATTCTTCCTTACAACATGACTAATTTGAAAATTTAAAAAAATGCATTTTCATTTATTTATTAATTTATTTTTTGGGGCAGCTAGGTGGCACAGTGGATAAAGCCCTGGGCCTGGAGTCACAAAGACTTGAGTTCAAATCTGGCCTCAGACATGAACTAGCTGTGTGATCCTGGGCAAGTCACTTAACCTTGTTGGCCTCAGTTTCCTCATCTGGAGAAGGAAATGTCAAACCACTCCAGTACCTATTCCAAGAAAACCCCAAATTGGGTCATAAAGAGTTGGACACAACTGAAACATGATTGAACCACAACAACTGAGTCTACTTTGTGCAAAACATAAGTGAAAATTTCTCTCTCTCTCTCTCTCTCACTCTCATTCATTGTCTCTGGTCTTACTTTCTCAGATCTCACTTCCGTAAATTCTCTTTCAAGTCTTAATCTGTGAGGTTGAGTGCTTCCCTCAAATTAAAAATAAGACAATATTATTATATTGTTACCATTTTTCAGGAAACTGCTCAGAGAAATTTAGTCACATGGCTAGAAAATAGTGGATCTGGATCTTCTTATTGCTTGTCTGGTGCCTTTTTTAAACCAAATAAGTGATGCAGAAAGGTTCTAAAGAAATACTCCAGGAAACCAGAAATAGTAAGGTGACTTCTACCTGGATAAGGTTTTATGTAAAAAGTGACATTTTAGCTCCGCCATGAAGGATTTGGACAGTGTTGATGAAAGGCAGAGACAACAACATGAGCAAAGGCAGAGAGTTGTTTTCAGAGAAGAACGACTAGTCCAGTCTGTCTGTGGCATTGGGGGAGTATAGAAGATTAGTGAGAAATAAGCCCATGAGTGAGAAATGGGCTAGCTTGAAGACTGAAC